ACGTGAGGAAAAATGTCTTTACTGAAAGAGTGGTTAAACATTGGAACAGGCTCCCCAGGGAAGTGGTTGAGTCCCCATCCCTGGAGGTATTTAAAAGATATGTAGCTGTGGTGCTTAGGGACATGGTTTAGTGGTGGACTTGGCAGGGCTAGGTTAACGGTTGGACTCAATGATCTTAAAGGTCTTTTCCAGCCTAAACGATTCTATGATTCCTGTTTTCCCCCCACCCTTATGCTGAAACATCTTTTCATCCTCTATTTTGACTGTATCCAGACATTAATAAAATGAATCTGTTTTCTCAGAAATCTTGCAGTGAGGGGAAGTTTCCCTGGATCATGAATCATACCAGTAACAGCTGCTATAATTTATTAAAATCTCAAGGTAGTTAGTATCATAAAGCTTCCAGGAGCTGCAAGCCGTTCTCCCTGCATGGCCTGAAGCAGTCAGTAGGCTTGACATCTTTCCATCTGAAATAAGTTATGCCCAGCCCTCTAAATTATCTTCTCAGAGACATGTAATTTTATCATTGGTTCATTGGGTTTGTGCTGACTTAAGCTCATTGAGTGAAGTCACTGTGAAGTGATAATTGAGTTAACCTCAGAGTTAAGGTTGACTTTGGCAAATTTATCTTCTGATAAAATGGAAGTTCTTTGTCTTTTGCTGTTTACTGTTTTTAACTGGAATAGCTCACATCTTATTATCGTAGACAGAAAAAAGTGGGAGTTTTGGAAAAGGGGTTGTTTTCAAGTTACTTTTTTCTAGTGAAAATAAGCTTTGCTTCTTTCTTTAAGAGACCAATCATATATGTTAGTGCAATACCATCATTTTTCTGGGTAACTATGATGTTCAGTCATTGAGTTAAATCACCTTGGAAGTAAGAAAGTTACTTGACACTGTCATCATGGGGATATGAACACAGAAGCAAGGTACAATATAGATGCACACATTATATCCCTTTCTGTTCCCACTCATGTCCAGTATCAGAGGATGACTTTATTCTGCATTCCCTGAAAATCAGAAGATTTGAGAGATTTTCTGACCAAATGAGGAGTTATTGTTTCCTGAACCTTTAAAGTACAGGAAGCCATGGTACACATGTTTTTTAATGAACAGGCAGTGTGTTATGCTAAGAACACATGTTATTAGAAGCTGAAATGTCTGAATTTCACAAGGCAAAATATTTTAAATGCTGTGTATTAAAATTAATGATGCATTTTTATATATACAGTATGTAATGTGTACCCAATGCTGACTATATATGTAATTTCTAAAGAAAAAATATTCTGCCTAACACATTAATCGAGTTTATTAGAAAAAGATAAAAACAAATCATAATTTATAATCTGCTCAGTCATTCCAACTGACATCATTATTATTGCAGCTGTGAATGCTGGGTTTTGGAGTGGAGAGTTGAGAGTGGGCATATGCTGTATGATGGATACTATAATAATCGTAGAGCAGCTTCAAGTAGGAGCCATAAGACTTGAGAGACGTATGCAGTTCGGATGTGTGTGTGAGCTGTATTCCTGAAAGCGGACGTAAAGCTGTAACTGTTCTGCACTGCTGTGAGAACTACAGTATAGGATACTTACTCTGTGGTCTGCACTAATCACAGTTCAACTGTGTCAGGACATAAAGGAGAATCTTTTCTTGAAAACTTGTCTTCTCACAGCTTGGTTGACCACAGTTGATTGGAAATTTTTCTTTTTTTATATATCATATATTTGCCAAAGTATAGTTTTGGAGATTCCAAAAATTGTTTAAGAATTGGGAGTTAATTTGCAAAACTTGTGTGATTAGAAATGGAGATGGCTGTGGGAGATCTGAAGCCTGTGCTTTCCTGATCTTTAGGAATTTGATTGCAATCACTTTGCCAAAGAATCTGCTGGGCTAGGATGTTCTGATTTTTTTTCCCTTTTGAGGGCCGCATTTAATTTAATGGGAATATTGGTCAAGACAATACAGCTTTCTTTGGTTTATACTCCTATGCACTTCTTGTCCTCCACTTAAATATTCATGAAGAATAAATCTGGATTTGACATTCTTTTAAAGTCTGAAAAATGCCCAGGTGGTTATCTAGATTGCCTTGATGTCCTCTTTATGGGTTTTTTTGACCCTGTGGTTGCCATGAAAGTTTGAGCCTACTGGTAACTGTAGCATCTGACATTGAAATATCACGTTTCTGTTATAGACAGCTATGTGCATAATTCATTTTTAAGCATGCATGTGTTAACACTGCAGTTCCTGGCACTGTAGTAGCAGATTTTACTTCCTTACCAATTCTGCCTGTAATAGAAGCTGGGTTTTCAAGTATGCGGCTGATAACAGCACCTGACAACTGCATCACTATTTTCTTTTAGAACAGAATATAGTTCACTATGGTAATAAAAGGTAAAAGGCTTTTTAATAATTATGATATATATAGTGCAGCAATCTCTTAATGGATTAACATTGATCACATTGCAAATATGTGAAAATGTGATTGTTTTAAATGCAAAATATCACAGCTTAAAAGATGAGGAGGACTAAACAGTGGGGGGAAAGTGGTCTGGAGTGAAATTGCAGAAGGAAAGGTCAAGGAGACCGCTGTTCTTCGGGAAAGTAGAAATAGTTCAAAGTCCAGTCATAGCAAACACAAGTTAAGTGATAAGTGACAAAATAACAGTTTGTATGGAATAAAACAAAAATTAAAAAACCCCACATGATCAACATAGGAGCAGTGAGATGTGTGTGCTTCCAAAATGCATAATTTGATTTGCTCTTAGCTAGCCAGAAAAAGGGCATTGGAAGTGCAGCTATGTAAGACACCAACAAACAGTGCTTAAATGTTTAGAAGAAAGATAAGAGCATGCAGGACATGCATGGGGTGCGTGTTCAGTCATAGGGCTGGTACAGCTCTGAAAGGGCTCTCTGGATTGCTAAGGATGAAGTTGGTTGTCCTTGTTAAACCAGTTGCCATAGCTTTTCTACTATTGCAGCTGTATCAAGCATCCTCAGGTTGAAGCACAAACTACCCCTTTTACAACCTCAAAATTGGAAGCAGCCTTTAAATACTTTCAAAGATTAGCGTTTCAGACACACCATAACTGTGGACTTGACAATTTAACAGGCTAGACTGTAAGGCTAATTCTCTGAATTCTCCTTCTGTGTAAACAGTCCTCCTTTGACTGCAGTTACATCAATTAATAGTATCCTTTGGGTAAATGAACAATGTCTGTTTATAACAGGATGTGTTTGACTTGGAACTTCAGATACTGTTTGCTTGAAGTATCTTTTGAATGCTTTTCCTGTTAGCTCTTTGAAAAATGCGGGGGGGAAAGGGGGGGGGGGGGGGAGTCAAATATAGCAGTGAGCTTTGGCAGCACCATGTCACCCAGGTAGAGCAAACTGGGTAGCACAGTTGGAGAACGTTTACGTCACAGTACTGCTACTGGCTCATCATCTCATAGTATGAATCTGCCTTCAGGAAAATTCAAATTTTACTTGGAAAATCGCGGATCATTTAGTAACCATTGCCAGGAAGTTTATTCTATTTCTCAGCATTACTCTTCTGATGGCAGTAGCTGGTGGAGTTATTAAATATTCATACGCTTTTAAAATTCTAGCCTGTGGTTTAAATGTGTTTGAAATTAAGCTGGTTTGACTTGGGATTTATTTTTTAAAACCAAAAGGTATGCTCTTGAGGTACTGCTGTGCATTATGAGAAAAGGCTTGAGTATATGCCTAATCCCAATACAGATTGCTTTACAAAAAGATTTATTTTGTTTACGAGTTGTTTGCTTCATGAAAGCACTGATTATTGATTTCGTAGCATACAATCAGCATTCGCTAAGTGAACTGTATGTTAAGACAACACTGAACTGAACATTGCGACAGCTGCCACTAGAGCTGATGTTCTCATGGCATTTCTATTCAGAGCCCTTGTTTCCAATTGTTTGTAGCTTTACAGTACTTTCACCTAACAGAGTGAAATTTTCTCGACTCAAAGGTGACTTTTCTCTTGAAGGTCAAGCCACGATTATTGAGCTTCTTTTAAAGCAAAAAGAGAAATGAAAACAAGAGCACTTGCCCTGTATTAAAAGTGCTGTTGTTATTTTAGAACTGGTGCAAGCTAAGTACATTTTTTTTTTAAAGTAAGCACAGGTACTTGTAGAATGAATTTCTTTTCAATAGAGGAGGCTTATAACCATTTTTGTGTTCCTACTAATCAAACTAATACGAGTAAAAAGAGGAATTTTGATCTGAACTTTTTAAGAATTTCTGGTATTAGTAACAATGTCTGTAACTTATCTGACTCATTAAGGTGTAAATATAATAAACTTTTGGCTCATATAGCGCTAATCTTTCTAATCTATAGCCCTATAAATCATGTTGAATTCTACTCAGGAACAACATGGTGCATATCAAGTTTGTTTGTTTTTTCTATATGTATTCAATATTTTTATTCTATAATATTGTCTTCATTTGACATACATACAGTATTTCTTTTGTTATACCAGAGATGCATCCTTTTATAAGTTAACCACTAAGATTTATTAAAAGTCAGCTGACCAAATAATGTAAGTGTCTGTGAACTCACTCTGAAGTATCCTTATGGTTTATCTGCCTAAAGATAAGCTCAAATTTAGATGTTTTTAGAAAGAGAGCTTAATCCTCCAGAAACTGCTTTCCTTTTTATTAACTTTGTCTTGTTTCATTGCAGGAGGGGTTCAAAATGGGATTAACTCTTGAAGGCACAGTATTTTGTCTTGACCCACTAGACAGCAGGTGCTGATGCCAAGAAACTAAATGTGAAATTCCTACACAGTGGGTTTTTTTTAATTCTGAACATGTATTCACAGATACTATCCATGTGCCAAAAATTGCTTTTTTCAACATGTAAACTCTTGTGATTGTTTGCTTCTGTAAAAATCCAACTTAGTTCCAGTCTTTCCCTGTACAAATGTAAAAAGTTGTACTTGTTTATGAAATATGAATTAAATTACACTGTTGTGTTTCTTTCTCTCACACTTTGGCCCGAGTTTACTACGCTTTACGACTATTAGCCTGAGTAGTTCTTCAGAAAGCTCACACGTATCTCTCTCTTTGCAGATGTGCAAGCATGATTTTTACATAATACTTCACTTGGCAGCATTTTGAAATTAAGTTTTTAAGCCATTATTTAATATTCAAGCAGTAAAATGGTTAATATCTAGTACAAAAAATTCTGCAGTGAAAAAGCAGAAAATACTAACCATTAATATAAGCTTAAAAGGTAAATCTGGGTACCATGTAATTGATTTCTATTACTGTGTATGGTTACTATGCTGTATATATGTTGTTATTAGTTTATAAAATCCAGAAGAGTTTTAGGTCCTTAATTCATGTTTTAGAAACTAACAAATTGTTAGTATGCTAATCAGTGTTTAATGAGCATAGAACAACTGCTACATTGCAGAATGGACAAAGTAACTGCCCTTTGTTTTGATATTTTATAGCTGAACAGTAAAGTATGTAATTTGGAATTCACTACATGATAACCATAACTTAAAAAGAAGATTATGGTGTTGCATTTACTTAGGAATTTACATAATTTTGTGTATAAGCAGGCACTCTGTGTTTACTGGGCTCAATTCTGTAAGTTACTTTCAACATCTGAGTGTTTACAGTCAGGCTCTTTTTCACTGTCTGCTTTAATGTTATATGTCTCACTATAATTTTGAGGCTTGCTGCGAGAATTCAATGTAAGTAAGTCCTTCATACCCACTGGTGGTTCATGTTACAGAAGTAACTGGACACCAAAATTTTCAGCTGCTAGTGAGTTGAATGCTGACCTGTCTATGCATATTCTTCATTAATCTTTAGCATAAGCAATAAAATACCATCTTAAACCTATCTCAGAAAATTATTATCATTAGTGTTTTGATGCCCAAACTCCACATTAGTTCAATTCAAAAACTTTAAAAACTCTCATATTTTCCCCTCAAAACATACAGGTGTGGGGAAAAAAAAAATCAGATTTTTTTTTATATTTTCTTTCCTTTTTCATGAGAGTTTTTTTTGTGATACTTACGGTTTTGTCCTTGTATATCTTTATGCCTTGTTCAACAAAGTACTTCTGCACATACGTTTGAAGTCCACTGAAATGAATGGGATTATTCCTTTGCTGAGTTTGACATACGCTCAGGTACCTTGCTGAATGGGGGCCTTAATGTCCTACATTACATTAGTCTTCCTCTCTCTTTGTTCAACATTCATATAGAGTATTATATATAAATATATATATAAAAAAATATATAAAATCACTAACAAATAGAATAGTATATGTTTCATAAAGAAAAGTCTTTATAATTTTGTTTGTCATATAGTATTTTGGAATTTGTATAATGAGGATGTTTAGTAGCCATAGCAATGGCCTTTTTTAACAAATAGAATTTGTATTTTTATTGTACTTTAAAAAGCTTTACATAATAAGCATCTATTTAGTGGTCATTTATTATCAATGGTAACACTAAGATAATATTTGCACATTTTAAGAAACCTTTTTCTTTACTGATTTTTATGATAGTTGACTGCAAATGGCAGGGTTAAATATTACATACCTGGTCAATCCATACAAAAATACTTAAATCAACACAACAGTGCATTTTTAATGAAAAGGTTATGTGATCCAATTGGAAACTGTATTTCTATGTAATCTTAAATGTCTGTTTAATTTTGCCTAAAATAAATTTTTTAAATAAATTGCATCCTAGAACACAGTGTTCATTCAGTAAAATGCCCAGTGGAAGGGAGGGCGGGGAGGTGCTTAAATGTTGGGCAGGACCTGCCACAAAGAATGGTTTAGTGCTGAAATGTGTCAAAGTCACCTTATAGGCTGGAAAGAATCTGATCTCAGCCAGTGTAAAGTAACTCCAATGTTTGACCTTTATTGTTGAGTTTGGTCTAATCTGTAATCAGCAGAGAAAAATCTTGTTCTGCGTGCAGCTACCTAATACTAGTAATTAAGCAGTAACTTGCTCCACAGTGCTTCATGGATTTAATGGACTCTTTTTTTTTTTATTGCCCCTTTGTTTTTTTTATACTTAGCTGCTCAACATACTTAGCTACTAAATGACCCTAATGGTTATTTAAGGAGTAAAGCATGTACTTGAAGTCTTTCTGAATCCTAGAAAGCAACCTCTGTAAACCAGGTGTGTTAATGGGACAGGCTGCAGCATACGGTGTTGATGCTTTTGAGAAAAGAAAACTAGTCTTAAATCACCTGGTAATTACTTCCATTGCAAAATTTCTCTTCACGCTAATACCCAAAACCCATCCAACCTCTGCCATTTGTGGAAATGGGGCTTGGACAGTTTATGGGAATGGACACTGTCAGGGCTAGCAAGTAAGGGGTATGTCTAATCTCCTGTCAGTTATAAACATGAGCTGTTCTCCTTTCCCAGAACCTGTCTCCAGGTTCCCACTAGTATCAGTGTTCTTCTGCAGATAGTGCAATAACATCATCTGCTAAATCTTCAGACTATTACTTTAAATATATATATTTGAGAGCTGTACAAGGCGTCTAGGTGATTGCTCTTGCTCTGTTTAGAGTGAACGGGAGTGCTCCCGTTGCTCAGAACAGAATTTTGTCTGTGGAAGCTGTCTTGTTACAAATTCCTACTATCTCAATTATCTATTAAAAGCATAGTCTCTAAACTTTCTAAGAAAAATTAAAAGAAAACCAAACCAAAACAAAAGCCAAAACCCAAAGCTTGATAGCTGGTTTGGACTGACAATGTGAAGTGGTCCTGCTAATTGCGTGACCTTAGGCATTTCACTTCACAGAAGCCTCCTGTTTTCAAGTCTGTAAAAAGGGAGTAACATCATCTACTAGATTAGAGATACGGTGCTAAATGAGTCGTGAACAAGATATTTTTTGGACTTGTAAAATTGCCCTCAAACAAAAAATACCAGTGCAACTGGGTGCTACCAGATTTGTCCACACTTTTTTTTTTTCCCTTTTGGATATCTTTTCTTCTTAAACTTCTTTAAACTGTGATCACACTGCTGATCGTGCTATCTGTGACTGTATCACTTCGTGGACGTGTAATACTAGCTTTTGGTTCTGCTTGTCAGCTGCCCAGCTACTGCACTGGCATGTCATACCAAGCTATATTAACACATAAAGCAAGATTCCTCACTTTCTGTTCCTTTTTTTTTGTATGATATGGACTATTTTTCTCTTCCTACCTGCTTATTACACTATACCTGAGTAACTGAGGTGCTTAGGTTAGAATTCTTCTTAAGTCAAATAAGCTGATACGTGGTCAGTTTGTGTTTTCTCTTTTTAACCTTTGCTAAACTACTGAGCATCATTGCGGATGTTCTTGGCTTAACCCATTGTCTTTACTTCAGATGGGTTTGTAAGTGGCTGTCTTTTGTCCTTCCATGTGACAGATGTGATTTGCGTTAAACTTATAATTTATCAAATCGTTCAAATTGGCAAAGATCAAATCCTTCATGTGGCAAAAGGAATTGCATTTCATTTTGGCCTCACTTATGGAAAGGAAGAAAGGAAAAAGAAAATTCTCACACTTGCAGAAGTAAGCGTGGTTGTGTAATCCCAGAGGTGATTGAACATGCCAAGGAATGGAGCTGGCTCTGAGACTTCATTATGATGATTATTTTTCAATTTGTGGAACTAAGCACAGACTCATTCTCACCAAGCAATTCTGCTTCACAAAAAGAGTCTCTTCTGCAAAGGAAGAAAGTGTCACTGCCTGAGAAATCTCTAGTTAAACATCCAGAGCTCCTGTTTTCATTATATCCCATCAGTCACTAGAGATCGTCACCCTTTGGACACCCTCTTAAGACAAGAAATGTGTTAATAATTGCAGGCAAGCTCTCAACTTTCTTAATTTGACACTTTGGGGTTTTGTTACTGCTTTTAAAATTAGAGGATGCAGAAGTCACTTTAAAAAACCCTAAAAAATCTCAATAACTGGCCATATGTTTTAAAATGCAACCAAAAGTGCCTGCTAGTAGGTGTTCTGTAAGCTTCAGCTAAAAGACAGCAAGTAAGCTTTAGTACATAATTAGCCTGCATTTTTCCCCCCTTTTAAGACATATTCTTAATGAGAGATTGAGTCGTAAGTTGCATTGTCAGCTGGTGAAAAGTACATAGCAGTTCTCATCAACAAAATAGAGAACAAGATTTCGAATATATCATATTCTTCAGTTATTTCAGAATGGTAGGCAACATTTCGTCGAAACGAAAGTCTGACATTTCTAATATATGCAGCCTTCTTGAGACGCTTCAACATTCAGCGAGTGTCAGTGCATAGATTAAAAAAAATCTGCACATTTATTTATTCATCAGACCAAAACTCTTCCTGGAACTACGACACTCTTTCAGTGGATTTCATGGGCTGCATACATAATATTTGTGCATGATGGGGTAAAGGTTTCTGAACTTATGAATATGCAATTTACTCTTTGTGTTTAAGAAATTTCCTGAGAGTCTAATTTATATATAGTTTGTGATGAAAAAACCCTGCAACCAAAATCAGTATATTTGAGCTTTTGGCCTCTCTTTATTATTTTTTTCCCCACGTTTTCCACTATTTATTTCAGCAAAGCTTATGCCTTGCAATAAAGGTTAAGAAGGAGGAGAAATAGATTAGGAAGGAAGTACAGAAGAAAATTAAAGGGGAAAAAATATAATTTTGTGCCAACATCACACAACTAAGTAACATTGCATTTTTTTGTGAAACTTAACAGAGTTGATAACTTTTCTCGTTCTGCCCCATCACTTTTTATGCCTATCTCAGGACTGTGCGAGGGCTGCCAAGAAGCAGATTTGCCATATTTGCTGTCCACAAGAATTGCTATTGGAGCTATTTGAGCTAGCCAGAAACAAGGAATGTTTTTCCTACCCCCTGTAGCCTCATTACACAGAGTAGGTAACTCACAGTGAGCCTCTTCCAAGATGCCTGCTTGCCACAAGCTCCAGTTTCCATCCATTTATCCTAATTTCTAGTAGTT